GGCGCGCCCTATGTGTGTTGTTACTGCGGACGTTGTTGAGACCTCCATGAGAACGTTAAAGGGGGAAGTGTGGGCGTGGATTGTGTATAAAAGAACAGGTATGAGCTTTATGCGGAACATTGTTGTCTTAACAACCCTGAAAATGGCAGAGACACGCCTATGAAGCACAGTTTAAACTGAAGGCTATCAGCTACGAAGAGGAACATGGAAATCAAGCGGAAGAGATGAAAATTTACAATTTTCAAGGAGGTCCGTCGTGGTGCTTTCGTTTTACGCAACGGTGCAATTTTTCCATCCGTATATAAAACCTGCGCCATATAATCCGGTGTGCCTTATGTGTGTGTTAAATACAGTAATGGCAACATAACTGAGACTGCGCCTTTTAGTACGGTGAGCCTTATGGTCGTGAAAATACGGTAAGTAAAAATCTTGTCTATCTATACTTTACTGGAATAGTTATTTTTTGACGTTTTACTTCAACTCCTTACATATTTTTTTTTTTGCAATTATCTCGACTTTCTACTCCTTACATTTTATAAATAGACTCATTGTTTTGTTTCATTTAAGCTCATTTTTCTTTTGGTCTGTTGGTCTTTAAAAACATAAAAACCATAAAAATGATTTGTTTCATCCAGGCAATTAATTTCTTTGTGGTTGGACTCGGTGCTGCCCCAACCTGTTGTCTACTAGATTCCAAAATAAATAGTTTCTCAAGATGATGCAAAGTTAAATTCTACACCGTTAACTGTCAGGACTCAGTACGTTGGACCCAGAATTCAGGCAGGCAGACGGGAATGATTTATAAAAAGCTCCTCAGGGCTCTTTGGTTTGTCAGCTTGTACTAGACCAGTGGAATCTCTGTAGAGGGAGAAACACAGGTTAGTGACCACATAACTCTGACGGGAAACAATAGCAAGCATGTGAGTCATTAACTTGGCTTTTAAATTCAGTCCAAGCCCAGAGGAAGGAGTGGAATCTAGCTGGGTGATTTCCCACAACATGTTGTGGAAGCCGCCTAGAGAATTCTAGGAGTAGAAGCCAAAGGTGCGGCGAGCAGAGGCCAGCAGAC